ACCCAGGGACCCACACATGCTAGGCAAGCACTTCACCAATGAGCTGGATCCTCAGTCTTCTTTTCTCACCTTTTGAGATAAGGCCTTCCTAAGTTGCCCAAGGTGATCTTAAACTCACTCTGTAGCTCAGTTATGCCCTGAATTCACCAACATTCTGCCTGAGTCTCCCAAGTAGCTGAGATTATAGGCCAGTAGCACCAGACATGACTCTGAAACTACTTCTAAATAAAGCTTATGCCAACGGTCCCTGCGTTGCCCCCCCAAATAAGTTCTGACCAGTTTTCTGCATTTTGGAAACAAAATCCACATGGCCGTTCTCTGAAGCTGAGATCACCGGCTCAGACCTCATTAGGATTTAGGTCACTGGGGAAAGACCGCCAAGGTAGATGTCAGTAAAGGACTCAGTCTGATTTAAGAAACAAAAGATTTCACATCTCTGTCACAGCCCTCTCAGACCCACAGCCCTGGGGGAGGACAAAGGATTCAAATGTGTAGTAGTATGGTCATAGTGTGACAAGTGTAAGTTGATGGGAAGGAAAAATGTTCATTTGGTGTGTAGGACTTATGAACAAAACACAAAATGCTATAAATTGAGTCACCACTGGGATGCCAAGTAAGAGAGCTTTTCATACCTTCCAGGGATCTTACTCACATACCCATGGTCTCAGGCTCTACCTCTTGAAAAAGACATCCAATCCAAGGATTCCATCCAAACCTCTCTCCTGAAGCAGAGTGTTTTCAGTGAACACTTCCACTGGATGACCCCAAGTAACAGCAAACTCAGCATGCTGCAGCTAAACTCATCTTAAAAATCTACCCCTCCTAGGCATTTCCCATCTTAGGAATCACTAGCACCAACATGGTTATTAGACAAAAACCAGAAAGCCCTTCTGGACTCTTCTCTTCCCCTTCCCATTGGTCCATCAGGTACCATGACCTACCGGTCCAATGGTCCTCCTTCTTCTATATCTGTTCACTAACCCCTCCCATTCCCATAGTCAGCATCTTAACCCAGGTCACCTCATGTCCTGCCCAGAGTTCTGTTTGGGTCTCCAATTTATCTCTTTGCCTTAGTTTTGACTTGCTTCAATTCATTCTGCCCTAGCTCACTGGTTTTCCTTCTCAATCACAAATGAGACCCTTTGCATTAAGACCCTCAATAGAATTCCTTTGTTCTCAGGGTAAAGTCTGACCCCTTTGCCATATTATGTAAGTCTATTGACAATGCCACCTCTACTCAATCTCCAGCCTCAACTCTTTTCTCTTTGAACACTGAATTCCAGACATGTGGAACAGTTTTCTGTGCCTCACATAATTCTGCTACTTTTCCTAGTTATGGCTCATATGATGCAGATAGGATGAATTTTTTCAAGTGAAAATACTCGATATAACTCATGTCCAGATCATGAACTGGAAGAGGCCTAGTATTCCAGAAGCTACCTCATGCTCTTTGGCCCTACCCCTAAAAGAATTCACTACCCAACTTCAAATATTTTTCACTGGTTTTCCCCATTTCTATTCTTTATATAAATGAAAACCTTGGGGGATGGAGAGATGGCTCAGCAGTTAAGAGTACTGGCTGCTCTTGCAGAAGACCTGGGTTCAAATCCCAGCACCTGCATGGTGACTAACAACTTCTGTACTCCAAGGGCAGTGCACTTACATACATGCAGACATAACACTCATACACATAAAATAAAAATAAATATTTAAAATAATAAATCAATAAAAACCTAGCTTAAAGTGAAAGGCTGTGTCAGCTCTCTGTGGATGTGTAATGACCCACCCAAACACTTAAGGGCCTGAAACAAACTTGAAGTTCCAGCTTGATCCATCTCAGTCTTCACAGCTGTGTCTTAAGTACACTTCAGCATCACACTCCTTGAGGACTTGGCCTACACACACTGTCTTCCAGAGCCTTTCCTCCCACTCTCCCTTCAACCCACATCATCTGAATTGTTGATTAAAATTGAGGTATTTTTTCCTTGATTGAAGTCTAGACTGGTTTGATACCCACTGTAGAATGAAATCCAAACAGTGGCAAGGGGCTAAAGATTCTTTAACCTGCTGTTGCAATCTTCTTTCCTATGCTTTTTGTCAAATGCACACACTACTCTTGTGAACCTACGCTCTGTGAGCTTGTACTAGGAGCTTCTGCTAGGGATTTCTCTTCCTTGTAGTACCTTTCACCCCATTCTTTCCCTGCAAATCAACTCATCCTCTCTCTAATCTTTAATACCTAACCTCTCTATTAAAGCTGTACAGTTGATGACTTTTTACCTGGTCCTGTTTCCCTCCACTAATACTAATACTAAGATACAGCATTATGGTAATGATATAAGTACTTCAGGATAGGATCTTTGTTCACTGATGAGCCCCCAGAGCCTATCACATAGTAGGTATTCAATAAACACTTGAAAGTAAATGAATGAATGGTTAACATTTGTTGAGCACTTATTCTGACAGCACTTTCACACATTATTTCATTCTGTCCTCACCCAGACCCTATGAAGAACTGTTTTTATTCCAATTTTGCAAGAGAGGAAATGGAAGCTTAACAAGATTAAGTAACTTGCCACAACCACACAGTTGACACATGGCAGCCCTAGGAGCAAACCCCTAATTGCCCACACCCTAAATACCTTGGCTTTACGGTCTAAGTTTTGTCTGCCTGGGCGTTCTGCGTGTGATTCTACTGTGGTTTTCAGTAAGACTTGAGCAAATGAAATAATGAAAGTAGTGCAAGTATCTCTCCACATAGTCATCTCTTAACTACACTACAAGTCTTCTGAGAATAGGAGTTGGGTCCTATTTATTTTATTTCTTCCCTGCCCCCAAACCCCCAAGCAGCCAACACAACATCTCACACATGTTTGTGTCTGCTAAATGTTTATCAAATGAAATAATGAGTGTGCTGTTTAAAGGCAGCATTTGGCAGTGAGTCCTTTTTGCACAATCAGTGAGTTTTGAGGGGACTGTCCTAATGGTTGCCCTGAGTCCAGGCCAGCTGCTGCCTCTTCTAACCCTTTGCTTCTTCAGCATGATGTAGGCCTGGGGCCATCCCTGGCTGACCCACCCTCCACCCTGACCCGGCCCTCTGCCATCCTTCCTGTCCTCAGGAAACTCCTCTGCCTGTCTTCCTGCTCTGGGTGGCTGATCACGCACAGAAAGTCTGGCCAACCCTCTGCTTTTCTTGACCCCACACCCTGCTGAACCTTGCTGTTTCCCTGGTCATTCTGCACAGGCGGGGCAACATGACACTCATACAGATAAATCTCACACAGAGCACATTGTGATAAACAGAGAGTCACGAGGCACGCTGTGTTTTGAAGAGGGAAACATTGCTAGTTATATGATAAAGAAGCTGGAAGAAAGTTGAATCACTCTCTTTTTCATCCTGATGCTTATTTGTCTTCTATAGGTCTGTCAAAATTACTTAGCATTGTTGATTGTGCATTATAGAAATGGTAGCGGTTTAGATAAAAGCGGGCAGTTACTAGGAAGATAAAAAGCTATAGGTTGGGGGTGTAGCTCAGTGGTACAGTGCTTGCCTAGTATCTACGAGACCCTGGGTTCAAAGCCCAGTATGGAAGAAGTCTCAGAGTCTCCAGGAACGCAAAGGTTGGTGCATGGCAAAGCCTCTAGGAGAAATGGAAGTGGAACCAAAAGAACAGGTCAGCTTGCGCAGGACTCCTTTTGCTGCTCTGGCCTTCACTGCGTTAGGACACTTGCTTCATTCCTGTCTTTCTGTGGTTCTCTGCCTATGCACAGAGTTCAACATGGAACACAGCTGCCCAGGGGTACTTACTTTGTGCATGGTAACAGTCTCCTAGGAACTCCACTTGATTGACCTAGCATAAGTCAGGTGCCCACCTCTGATCCAATCATCTGTTGCCAGTGAGGAGGATGGTACTATACAACATGGCTGCCAATGGCCCATCTTAGTGAGAGAGAGAGTGGGGTAGAAACGGTCATTGAAAGCTGAGAAAACTCTCCAGAATTCTTCACCACACTTGTTTATGCTGTCTGATAAAGTTCCTGTGAAAGAATTCTGGGTATTTCCCCAACAGCAGAGTAAATTAAAAGGCTTTCTATATTTAAGTCTTCTTTAATTTGAGATAGAGTATCACTAGATGTCTCTGTCTGCCCTGGGACTCACTATGTTTGAGGTCAGTCTCAAACTCGCAGTGATCCTCCAGCCTTTGCTCTCTGAGTTCCAGCCATCACACTCAGCTCTGTCTTTGAAATTCATTTTCTTTTTTTTTTTTTAAATCCTTTTCAAGAAACAGATACATAAATATGGATTGCCATTCACAAATATAGTACTGATTAGCCAAGATGACATTAACTAAAATAATACTAGTTTTATTCTTTGAGAGCCTGGAGGTGGCCTCAAACAGATGCTTCACACACATCTGTTGTCAGCTAGACTGCAAGGGGGAGAGAGTTGGTGATGAGTCAGGCCATGCCTGCCCTCCTCAATGCCTCACATAAATGATACCCACCATCCCTATCAGGAACCACAGTTCTGGTTTCTTTCTACTAAGCCGTTGTAAGCAGGTCTACAGAGATTGAATCCCTTCATTTCTAGGATGCCATGCCTCCCAAATTTAGAGAAAGCTGACTTTTACCATGGCTTCCTTTGTGTGATTTTTGGGTTGGAAGATGAAGAACCAGGATAAATCCTTTTTTCTTTCTTATCCAGCCCAGCCTGCCCAATAGCAGGGTAAGGGTAATATGAAAAGGCAAACCAAGTTAAAAGTGGAAATGCTAGATTCAAGTTACCCCAAATCTAAAGCTTCTGGCCACTCTTCCTATGCTTTACCCTCTGGGCGTCTCTCAGCTATATAGCAGAGACAATACAGGGGCCCGCCAAGCAGGGATTCAGCACCAAGCTTTGTGGAGGTTGGGCCAGGCTCTGGTCTTCCTGACTCTTCTACCCAGGCCTGTGGTAATCTGCCTAGACCTCGTCAGTGACAGCTCTCTGGTTTGTCTTTCAGGCTCCCTGGGTACAGCAGGTCGTGTGTGCAACTTGACTTCCCGAGGCATGGACAGCTGTGAAGTCATGTGCTGTGGGAGAGGCTATGACACCTCTCATGTCACCCGGATGACCAAGTGTGAGTGTAAATTCCACTGGTGCTGTGCTGTGCGCTGTCAGGACTGCCTGGAGGCCCTGGATGTACACACATGCAAGGCCCCCAAGAGTGCCGATTGGACAACCCCTACATGACCCCCGCAGAGGTCATCATCCCGCTTCCCTCCTCAAGGACTCCAATTGCATCTGCAAGGACACTGGACCTCTGGGTTGTCTTCATGGGACTAGTTCCTAAAGCATGTGGCCTTCATCTCAGCAGAAGCCCCTTTTCCTTCTCTGGGGGCCCAGGACTGGGGGCCACATGCAATACATAAAGTATACCTTATCTAACCCATCTTGGGCATCCTAGGGCCACCTCTCTTTCTGCTTTGGAAATGGTATGACAGGCTGTTATTGGAGGAGGGTCATAAGCCCCCACCGCTGTCACCTAGACATTTCCTCTTTCCTCTTTGGCCATGGGAAGAAACAACATCACAAAGGAGCTTTCTCTGTGTCTTCCCACAAATGCACACACTTAAGGAAGTCCATACTTCCCACTGGAGGTGAGGAAAGTAAAATCAACTGCCACCAAATTCAGTTTAATTTTTAAAAAGATCAAATCGAGGTTTTGTCTAAGTGATAACCATTGCCACCATCTTTGGTGATTGCTTGGAGAAGGACAGCTTTCAATAAACTTTAGTTTTAAAACATATTTTATCAAAACATTCGTTGCATATTAAACTATGATGTCACAAGGTGGGGATGCTTGTCCAGTGGCATTTTAAACCTTCCCAGCAACCAGCACCTCAGAAAATCACTGTTCCCTCAATATAAAGAATCTCAGGGGCAGGGGGCGGGGGAAGGGATTCCTTCTCATTATGGTCTAGAGAGAATTTGAAGGAGGATGGATGGTCTGGCACTACACTCTAACTACTGGATAAATATGGTCAAAGATAAGTTAGTGAGTGGAATATCAGAAAATGTGTTTGTACAGCTAGAGGAAAAAAGGCAAAATTCCTATCTGGCCTCATGCATGTGATCAGTGGAATTTTGAAATTGAAACAACTTAAAGAATGCAAACTTCAGGGTTGGCAAGACCAGCACAATGCTGACACAGAGGTTTGCAGAGCCAAATCATGCCTAGGACCGCCTTGCCATACACAGATGTCCAAGAGAATCATCCTTGTGCGCTAAGGAGCATCGGCTAGGCCCCATCAAGCTGAAAGGCCTGTCACGTTTAACTGTGCTTGCTTTATACTTACAAGGTGATGTTATTCAGTAACCTAAAGAAAATAGCACACAGCTTTGCCTTTAAAGTCAGTAACACTACTGTATTTCATTGCAAACTCTAATTTGGAGGCTATATTTAAGTCACCCAACTGTAATTATGGGAACAACAGTATGCAAGTAGCGGCTGGCTTCTGCCATCAGCCAGAAGATGACAGTCAGAGAAAACGAAGCAGTGGCCTGCCCCATTTTTTTTCGCTGTTAAGTGAAAGAAAGGTGGAATTGACAAGGCTACTTCTCATGCTGTACAGTTTGGTTCTTGCTCTAAATATAATTTCTTCACAGAGCTCTATTGATGAACAGGCTATTTCACTGTATGCATTCAGTGTCAAATTAGTGCTTTCTCATTATTTCAGACTTTGGCCTTGATTTTTTTTCCCCATTTTTGTTTTGGGTTATGGACGGAGGCTCGTGGAAAACAAACTGCTGGAGTTCTTTGTCAGAACTAGTATTTGCCTCCTAGCCCTCTTAAAAGTGGCTGAACGCACTCCGTAACCGTAACCCCTCTCTTACTCCCAATATTGTTTCTTTTCTTTCTCTGCCTTAGTCTCTGTCTGTATGTTTATCTTCCTCCATCTCCCATCCGTCTGATGCTGGGGGCCAAATACAAGGTCTTGTACATGCCAGGTAAATATTCTACCCCTGAACCACATCTATATCCGTTCTTTTTATTATATGAATCCAGCAACTAGGAAAAATAGAATAAAGCAGTGACATGCCAGGGTTAGCGTACAGATGGTGGGACATAGCACCACCCAGTTTCCAGGATACTGTGGAAGCTTTCATGGAGGGTCCCAAAGCCATGAGCCCTTTTGATACTAAAATAGCCAAGTTTTAAATCCATGGATCTATTTAGGACAGGAAAAAAATCAGTAGCTACCTTAGCTCCCACCAGTTTGGGGAAACTGTAACCCTAGTATTCTATCACAAATTGGACCTCACTGTAAGAGAATTTCAGAGTTATGCGCCTTCTCCATTCAAATGAACTCAATGGAGTATAAGTAATTTTAGCTCCCAGTGGGATGTCCATCTCTTTGTTTATTTCTGAGATGTTTAGATCTGATTTTTATACTAAGATGCATCCCTCCTAACAAGTATCAAGGAAGCAGGATCTATCCACACTGAAACCTGTTAAATGTGTCCCAGTCTGTGAGGGACACTGTGACAGCCCTTGACAGGGTAGTGGGTCTTCACTGAGGAGGACAGAATGAGGGACTGAAATGTTTTTACCTGCTTTTACTTCTGATAGAAGAAACATTTGAAAAAAATAATAAAACAGGTAAAGATAATTTGAAACTCATTTTCTTTAGGGCTTAGTAGAGGAACGGTATTCTAGAATTCTGAAATACACTAAAATATTCATTATCTCAGACTTTTTAGAGGAATATGCAGCAATAATTAACCAAAAAAAGGAGAAATTCCATTCAAGTTAAATCCCCTTACAACTTTTCTCCCAATGAAAGTCTTACTACAAATTAGTTTCCTAGACCTGAGATAATTTAATTGATTTTAATTAATTTTTTACAATATGTGAATAAATTTTTGCAATATATCTTGACTAGGTCCCTGGAGTTTTCTACACTGTAATCTGAACATGGTCCTAAGATTCAGTGTGTGAGTTGCTTCTTTTCAATAATTTGCTTCATTACCTTGGTTTGTGTTGCTGACAATTGTCTATAGCATGAAACATGCTTTGTCAAGTAGCCCTCAATTTGCAGTACCCCACATATCCCCTTATAGTCTGAAAGAATCAATGTCCTGCCTCAAGAGATCAGTCCCCCACCCAAGTGTCTTAAGCTTAAGCATAGAAACGTCAGAGCTGTGATCACACTCAGCTCCAGCCCTGTGCACCCTCCCTGCCTGGCAGATTCCTGAGGGCCCCGAAACATCTGCTTATCTGGAGTCACCAGGATGGAAAACACACCTGAGATGCAAAGCTCATCAAATGCTCTTCAGTTTGGAAGGAGCTAGATGATCAGAGGGGAAAAGAAGAAAAGAACCAGCAAGTTTTTGCCAAATGACTGACAGATCTTTGTGATCAGGGACAGTAGCAGTTTCCACTCTTGTTGGGCACACCTGCCCTTCTTCCTGCTGTAGCTTCCTGTTCCTTCCATCCAGCACCTCCTTCCTGAGATTCAGGGGTCCAGGACCATGACTCCGGTCTTCTTTACTCTTTGTATAGCTCTACTTGAAGCAGTCAATATTCATCTCAAGATGTATATTGAAATTGTCACAACTATATTCCTTAATCTTAGAATTATTACAAAACTTGAAGAAAAACAAAAAGTCAAGTATTGCATTGTTTTTTCTAAGAAGTCATCCTTAAAGAAATTTGAGCTTCCCATCGACTATCCCGGACTATGTGGTGAGGATCTTCGTCATCTGCACTAGACCTACAGCAGGCTCTCAGGGCCCCTGCATGACCATGCATGTGCTCTGCAGGATGACATTGTCAGACCAGGATCTTGTTATTCTTCTCTGTTTTTAGAGGCTGGCCTGGGGCTGGTTTGTCTCATGCAACTGAAACTTTTACCTCCACTCTTATCTGCTTTCAAAATAAAGGCTCAAAGAAAATGTCCAATGGACCAGAACCTTCCTTTGTCTCTATTTACTGTACTTCAACCTGAGTTTCCTTATCTTAAGAGCAAGAATTGTGCTCAACAAACAGACCTTGCCAGTTCGCAAACTGGTGAATAGCTTTTGTCAGGCATGTGCTGTACTTCTGCACGTCTGTGAGCTGACAAGTATGGCAAGCTCACCCTGACCTTCTCCTTGCCTAGGCAGAGAAAAGTTTCACCCATCCGTGAGTATATTCCTTACATTTTTCTGGGGATCAACAAGGTGACAGGTGGTTTGCAAACTCCAACATGACCATTACTTTTCTAAATATTAGTTGTTCTAGCCCTGGCTGGGTTTTTTTGTTTTCTTTTCTTTCTTTTCTTTTGCCCAGATATTCACATGGATTCCTGTTTAACCAAACCTCCCACTTCCACAAGCTAATAAAAGTGTCACATAGGTTGTTACAAAGAACTATTGTTATTTACAAGTCTACATTTACTGTGAAATCAAAACATAATAAAGAGAATTTTCAGTGTTAACTTTGTTATTTTAGACTTTCGATGGTCTTGCCGAACCCTCTATTGAGTAGAAGTCTCTGCAGGTTATGGGAAGTATTCCCTCATCTTTTCTCAGGACCACCTTTCCAATAACCCAATCAAAAGGCTTTTTTCAAGTTTGTGAAGATTACTAGAGAAAGAGATCGGCTAACCTTTACTGGTGGCCGTTCATATGAATGCATAGATAAGATTTACATTCAGGACCAGAGATTATTCCATTTCTACTCTGTTTCACTGTGCTTACCCCTCTGCATGCCAGCATGCTGTGGCCCTGTTTATAAATTCTGTGTCTCTTCATAGCATGGTGATAATTCATTCCTATCAATCTTTCTGAATTATTGTTTTCCCTGTAGACATTTGCTCTTGACTGAAATGTCATTTTCTCAACTTGATTAGGAACACAAGATCACATGACCTTAAGACTGTGCATCCTGATTGAATAGGCTAATTATTTCAAGCAGTAAAGCTTCAGCAAATGGGCACAGCTCTGCCCCAGCAAAGGCACTATGTTCTTTCACTTTCTCCTCCACCGACCTACACTCTGGGGATGACATGACTTAGCAAAGCTGGCCCTGTCCTTCAAGCCCCTTGAAGCATCCCCACAGCTGAGATGCTCACCAGCCCTCCAGGACTTCATTGTCCCTTCTAGACATTCCCACAACTACTTGGATTATCTGAAAAATAGGTATTTACACGTGGACATTTCTACAAAGTATTTCAACCTAGACATTATTAATGAACTCTCCCTATTCTTAACCTTTTGTGTAAGGGGGCTTGTCCTATAAAATGTAAAACATACACAAGACAATCTGCTCTGTACCTACTAGATGGCAGAAGCAATTCACTTATCCTCCAGTTGTGACAACCAAAAAAATGTTTTAAGACATTGTCAAAATGTCCCCCAGTGAAGAGGGAGGGATGGGGTGAGATAAATGACACATAACTAAAGCCAGTGGTCTAACATTTTTAAGTCGTGCTCATGAAATGCAAGCCAATTCCAGTTAGGAATGCCTTCCACCCTCTCTACCTTGTGATTCTCAGTGTTGGTATACCAGACTAGCTAGAAGAGCACCTGTGAAAATGTGTAGTTACAGAACCCTTCAGTCCATCAGAGGATAGAGCAGAAAGGCTAAGTCTTGAAGATCACCCAGGCCTATACTAAATGTCTCTGGAGTTCAGGGGGAAAGCATGAAACTTCTCTGTTTCTGTGAGTTTATCTTGGGAGTCAAACAAAGGAAAGGAGATTAACAAGGAGAAACAATAATGTGGTTTTAGGATCTGGAGGCATAATTCTCAGGAATTCC